TAGTTTTCGACATGCAAAATTAATTTTAATATTTTGATTTTTTTTAATTTAGTCAAATTATTTAAATAAATAAATTTTACATAATATATATATATATATATATTAATTTTTTTAATATTTTCCTTTTATTAATAATAATTAATATCATTTTAGTTTTATCAATCTTAATCAAATGCAAATAATATAAGGAAAAACTATGCATTCTATTTCTTTTAATGTATAATACGATAGTTTCTTAAATTGAATAATTATGAATATTGAATAATAGTGTAAAATAATTTTTCATAACACAAAAGAAAAAGAAAAATATTTTTCATAATAAATAAGAGAAAACGTTGATTTTGGTATAATTATGTTTACATAAAATCTAATACTTTTGATTAGTCAATAATTAATGAGAACATGAATTTGATGTAAAAAAAAACACGATTTACTTTAATTTAATGATAATTAAAATATTTAAATTTCTAAATCATATAAAAAGTAACGTTTATAATTTTGGGTAATATCTATAATTGATTAAATATTTGCGAAATATGACTAAAATTTTGAATATATACAATGGAAGAAGCTTTGTAGGAGTAGTGATGGATCCAGAAATTTTAGATAGTGGGGGTAATAATTATTTCTATATTTATAGTATTAAAAATTTAACATATAATTTTTAAAAGTATAAATATATATCATAATTATTTTTTACAAATTTTTATATCTATGCTTACAATTAAAGATGAAAATAAGTTAGGTTAAACTATGTTATATTATAATTTAGTAATTTAAATCTAACTATTTTTTAAAATATATGTCCTAAATATGACTTATTTATTTATCATAATTTTTTTTAAATTTTTGGTTAGAACTACAATTTTAAAAATATACTTTATAATAGCTTAATACTAATAAAAATATAAAAAAAATGTTAAATTGTATAAAAACCAAGTTTAATTTATTTATAATATAAATATATTTTTAATATCTAATATAATATTTTAGATGATAATTTATTTCAAAATATATTTTATAATAAAAATTCTAAATAGAATATAAATCTTCCAATCTTTCTCATTTTGATTTTTTTTAATTAATTGACGTATACAATCTTATAATCTTTACTATTTTGATTTTTTTAATCTACGTATACATAAATAAAAAGCACAAAAGATAAATATATGGTGCAAATTTTATTTTATCAAAAGTTAAACTTTTTAAAAAAATTAATTCGTTATTAAGACATATTTTTTTATCACATATGAGAACTAATCTCCTTAAAAAATATGATAAATATCAAATAAATGAATAATTTTTTGAATTTATATTTTATAATATGATAATTTAAATATATGTTTATTTTATTAAAATATAACTTTTATTTTTAAAAATATACTATTTTTTTGAATTAAAAAAAAATGTGTGTAAAATGGTAGTGAGGGCATGTGTCCCCACTCTCTTCTACATAGATACGTCCCTATGTAGGAGCGATTGTTGTTCTCTTTCAATCTCCATCTTCAATGTCCAATCATCCTCTTGAGGTCCTTAAATGCGTTTCACGGAAGCAATTCAAGCTTCAAAAGCTTGAAGGAAGCTACTCTTGGTGGTTCGGTTTCTTCTTGAAGAAGAAAAAAAAAGAAGATGAACTAAGGCACAAAGGAGGAAGTACTTTGTGAAGGTTCTCAAGGAGAGGGAGTTTTTCCACGGATTAGACTCTTGAATTGAGAGAGAATTTCTGAATTCTAGTTCTCATAAATGTTCAAAAGTGATTACAAATGGTAGAAATAGGTTTATATAGAGTAGGGAAGCTTGTGAAGCAAGCTAAGCTTAACCATGATTCAAGAGAACCATGGTTAGCTTAGCTTGACCGTCCACCATGGTTTGGGAGGCTTGTGGAACAAGCTTCTAACTTAGTAGCTTGGGAAGCAAGCTAAGTTAGAAACTTGTAGCACAAGCTTCCCAAAGGTGCCAAGTGAAGAAGCAAATCCAGCCAAGGTTGGGGTGGGCGGCCATGAACTATTTTCACTAGTGCAAAAATTGGATTTAAAATCGGAGTTTTAAGGTCGGTTAAAAGGTGGCCGATCTTAAAAGTGACGCGGTGATAATTTTGTAAATAATGTGAACACTTTTAAGATTGGTTAAATTTTAACCGATCTTAAAAGTGCTACTTTTAAAATCGGTTATTTAAGAACCGATTTTGTATGTAGTATACAAAATCGGTTCTTAAATAACCGATTTTAAAAGTATCGTCAGACACCTTTTATCTTTTCCTCCATTCTCATTCTCTTTAATCGTTCCCTCCATTCCTTTTTTTACTCTCTCGTGCTCTCATCTAAAGTCTCCAGCTTCTCATTCTCAAGGTAACATTCTCATGCACTTCTCGTGTCTCTAGTTTCATTGTTGGTTTATTTTACAAGGAGAACGGGCCGTTCTGCAAGGAGAATGACCCGTTCTGGATTAGTTTTAACTTATGACAAACTATGCTGGAACGACCCGTTCCAAACAATAGTTTTAGGCCATTTTAACAACCTGGAACGGTCTGTTCCAGTTTTGGAACGACCAATTCCAGTTTTAATTTTTACAAAACCAAGACTTTTAAGATCGGTTATAAAATAACCGATCTTAAAAGTTAACTTTTAAAATCGGTTAAATAACTGATTTTAAAAGTCTAACTTTTAAAATTGACTCTTTTAAAATCGTTAAAATCGGTTAGAGAACTGATTTTAAAAGTTAAAAATAACCGATTTTAAGTTTTTTTTTTCCATACTTAGTCCAATCCAAAAATCTTGGAATTGATTTAGTTAGGTTCACCAAATAACGGTGAGGCCTAGCTAAATCAATTCCTTGGAAAATATGGAGCAAAACAAGCCCAATATGTAAAATTTAGCCTAGGCCCAACTCTAACCCATTTACTAGTTGCACCTACACACCTTACTAATTGCCACCCCACTTCTACTACTGAAAAATGTAAAATGAGTGACCCTTAATACAAGTTCAAATGGAGCAAAAGTCTCTAAAGAATCTACCCTAAATACACAATAGAATAGTCTATAAAGAAAGAAATAAAGTGATTCACAAATACAAATGCAATAATTAACCTATATAAGAAAAACTATGTACAAATGAACTAGGCCTTTTCTTCAAGATATGGTGGTCCACATGAAGATTACCTTGGGCTTAGAGAACCCTCTAACCTTAAAACTTTCTAACCCTTCCTGTATGCTCCTGGGCATAACTTTGGTAATTGGGCCTTTGACCCATGGTTCATCAATATATATTTCAATTTTTTCTTTTATTTTTCAGAATTAATTTATATAATTTAAGAAAGGAAAATAATTAGTCAATGGCTAATGAAAATATGACTTATTATATTAATATTTTGGTGTAAATAATACTATAAATTATTTTTATTATAACCTTTTTATAATATATATATATATATATATATATTTGAATTCATGAATAAATTTTTTTAAATATTTTATTAACGTTAATTAATATCATTTTAATTTTAACAATGTTAATTACTTGATAGTAAATGTTTTTTTGAATTTTGTTAAATTAATTTTGATATTTTCATTTTTTTATTTTAGTCAAAATATTTATAAAAAAAAGGTCTTTTTAACATCATATATATATATATATATATATA